CGAAGTCTTTAACTTCATAGAGATCCAAGCCATAGGAAATTATTTGGGCTGTGTCAAGGAGACTGGCCTGGGTTTCTGCTGATGACATGTTTACCTTTTCCACCACCATGGTGGACACACCTGTCACAGCAGCTGCTGCTCCCAGCCCTATTCCAGTGACTGAGAGTCCCAGACTGAGGCCCGCTGTGAAGGGTGCCAGAACCAGGCCAAGGATGCTCAGGGTGCCAGACGCAATGCCGGTGGAGGAGGCTACCACATTGGAGATGGTGCAGTCCCTGTGCACCTTGTCAACATGGTCTGCGAGCTCACGGAGCTTTTTTATGCTCTCCTTCAGCTCCTGTTTTACCTGAGGAAACTCCTTCAAAAACCTCTCCTTTTCCTGCTGGTATTTTTGGAGCCTGTCTGGGTCCTCCCTGGCCAAGTCTGTTAGCAGCTTGATCAGATGTTCACGGAGTACATCTGCGTCTTCCCTGTAACAATGAACATTAAAGCCTTAGAAAGACAGTTTGCCTGTCTATGAAACAGGCTCAACAAGCTATATCCTGCACAAACCACAGAGATTTTATTGTAAATCACAAGAATTTTACTAATGTAAAAGTTTTTTCCAACCTTACCTCATTTGGATATTGTTAGTGTTCCATGTACTCATTCAATCATGGAATAAATAAGCAAAGGTCATCTTAGGATACCTTTAACTTAAGAGAGATATTTGATAAAGACACCTCAAAGGCAGGCCAATACCATCACTTCCAGAATGTGTGTAAAATGGGGACTTCACAGATAAACAAAGAGAAGTGGGATTAGAGCAGAAAACCCTTCATTCAAGGACCTTAGTGTATAGTGAGGAGTCCTCTTGCTCTTGGCTCTTGGCTGCTAGGATGTGGTCCCTAGGCCCCAAGAATATTCTGGCTGATAACAATGTCCTCGTCTGCCTGGGACTTGGGCCACTGGACAGTCTGACAAGTTGACATGTGATGGGCCTCTGGGTCATGTAGTATCAGTTCTGACCTCCGGAGGAGCTGGGCTCTAGGGCATTAGTCTGGCGTCTGGGAGGGGCTGGAGATGACAGGTCAGGGTAATTTGTTGTTAAATAGGGTGAGCGTCCCTGGCGGGCAGTGCTCCATGTGTCCTGCCCCTCTGAATCCAGGACAGTAACGCATCCTGGGGACAATGAAAGCTTCGTGTGTGAAACCCGCCTAGACTCTGCCCTATGGCTGATGGGAAACTGCATCCTTCTCTGCAATAGACCATAACTGGGATCCTGAAGCTTTAAGTGAGTCTATGCATCCTTTTATGGAGTTCTACAATCTGAGGGTGGTTGTGGAGTCCCCCAAATTTGCCCTTGATGGGAAATGTAAGGACAGTCCCAGCACTGTATCCTCATACTTTTCAGATTGGCTAACTGTGTGCCTAGAATTTTATTTATTTTTAATCAAAACTCAGCTGGAAGGACCCTTAATGATCATTTTGCCTGGCATCTGCTCTCACCCAAGCCCAATACCCTTGGCCTTCTCAGCAGAAGGACACTGGGTCTGTCCACTGCCCATATTGACTGGGAAGCAGATGTGCTGTGAGCCCTGTTCCCCGTGGTCCCTCCAGGCCACCTCACTGACTCCTGACACATCACCCAGCACCCCCGATCTCTCAGGGGTTCCATATTAATCTGTGACAGCTTCATGAGCCTGCACCCCAAGGCTGTGTGCATCCTTATGGAACCTCTAAAGTTTCAAGGGATGTAAGGAAACACCCATCTGAACGGCTGAGCCAGAAGAGACCGGCACTTGCACAGCTGTGGAGGAAATGTTTTCCTCTTCAGTGGGGATGCGTGAGGCTCCTCGGAATCCCTCAAATGACACACATCGAAGCCACTTACTATGACCCTGGAGGGCTCACTGAGCCACACGGCCTTCCACTGTCAGGGCAGCTCCACGTAGACTAGAAGAGGGTCCCAGATGGAGTGAGAACCCAGGTCCCAGGCAGGGTATGGAGGACACGGTCACCCAGGGCCCTCTAGCCCAGCTTGAGGGGATCCCATCAGGAAGGGAAGATATGTCCCCTCTCCAACTCCCGGAACCTCTGTCACAGTCCCTTCAGTTCTGTGTCCTTAAGGCCCACTCTCCTCACTCTAGTCCTGGCCCTGCTGCCCAAGCCTGCCTACTAGTCCTACAACCTGGACCCTCTGCTCCACCCTGACTCCTGGGTCTGACCCTGCTCCAGGCCTCCCTGGGTCTTTGGATGAGATGATTGCACTTGGTTCCCCACCTCTGGTCCTGCAGTTCACTCTGAGGCCATCACCACAATCCATCAGATTGAATTGCTATTCCCACTGGACACATAACACATAACAAGTCTGAGACTCAAAGTCTTAAACCCACAGGCCCAGAGTTGGGCAGGGCTAGATCCAGGATCCCACCAGGTCCAACCAGTTCCCCTCCAGCCTCTCTGCCTTATTAGCCAGCAGGAACATGCAGGGTTGGTATAATTCCTAAGATGGGGAATGAAAGAGTTCTAGTCAATTCCCAGGAACACAAAATGATATTCGGGTCAGGATTTTCCGACTTGACCCAAAGGAAGTCCTTCTTGGTTCTCATCTCCAGGAAGAAGGTCCCTGATTCTTCCCAACAAGCTTATCTTAAAATTAACATAGATTGAGCACCTACTCTGTGTCAGCAATCATGAAAAACACTTGCATGCATGATCTCAGAGTCCTCAGAATAAAACTGAACAGATGATGAAGCAGAGAGTAGTTCAGTAACTTGTCCAAGGTCATATAACCTGCCCTTCCTTTCAGGTTTCATCTCTTCTCAACCCAATGTCATTCACTGCCAACAAATAACACGGAGGAAGCATTCCACATAGGATCTTGAGGAGGAACATCCTCTACCCCAACCATAGGATCTGCCTGGAGAAAACTAGCCTGGGAGAATCTTCCTGGGGGCATGTTGGTGACATTTCTGGTGTACCTGCATGGTTACCTGGACAAACTGGCCTCAGTCACAAAATTCTCCCAGGGTTTGTCTTCGAGCAGGAATTTCAGGTGTTCCCATCTCACACTCTTCTGGAGAAACTCAACGACATCCTCAAAAAAGCTTTGGCTCTCTAGACAGAAAAATAAAAATAATTGAAGATTCAAATAAACTATGGGGTGATGTAAATGATATCGAGTATAAGTGGTTAAAGTTCACCTTTCTCAGCAGCATTCATCTGGCCTGCTGTTGATGGATTTATCTGGGGTGTCAGGTGGACTGTATGCACCAGCCGCAGTTCATAGGTTAACGCCCAGACCCACCCACTCTGCAATGACTGTATTAGAAGATAGGGGGCTTTAAGGCAGTAATTAGGTGAAATGAGGCCTTAAGTGTGGGGCCTTAAGTCAGTAATACCAGTGTCCTCATTATATGAAGAGACGTCAGATCTCTTCCACTCTCTCTCTCTTCCCTGAAGTATTAAGTGTTCTTAGGTTTTCTTTTTCTCATGCATCACTAAGGGAGAAATGAACTCAGGGCTCACAGGGAGGGAACCCACAGCACTAGATCTGTGTGTTGATTGATGAGGGTGGTGTGGGTGGAGGAAATAACCAAGCACCTGGGTGTCTGCGTGGGCATTTGAGAACAAGAGAACTAGTGCCTGCCTGAGGCATTCACCTGGTAATCAGGTGTGTATCATGGGAGCACTGGACAGGGGCCCTAACACAGCACAGCGGAGAGGGCATTCTAGAGAAGGGGAGAGGTTTCTACTTGGAACTAACACATTCCAGGTAGTGGGGACAGCCCGACACTAGGCAGGACCTGCTATGTGGTAGGCCCCGGCCCAGGCCACGGACACACATTATATTTGGTCCTCATCAGAACATAGGGAAATATCCTTCTCATTTTACAGGTTAGGTCAGGTCAGGTGCTCCAGATCTGGGAGGCAGATGTGGGAGGCAGCAAAGGCCAGATTGGGGGTCAGTTTAGAGTCCACTGACCCTCAGAGAGCAGCTGGGTGGGCAGCAGGGCGAGCAGTGGAGGAAACAACCTCTGTGTTGACAGCCCAGGGTCTGGGAGCAGAAGGAGGCTTGGACCAAGGGAGAGGGCAGGAGAAGCTCCAAGGGACCTCTTCTCCCTGTCCCACCTGGTTTGGAGACTTCTCCTGCTGTGCCCGCCCCCCTCCATGGGCTGTCCTGGCCTCACCTCTGAGTCATTAACTGGGGGTCAGGAGGCAGGGGGAGGAAGTTAGCATCTTGGCTGTGGCTCCCTGAGGAGAGGACCAGGAAAGAGGCTGTGGGGACAGACCAGCAAGTGTTGGGGGACTCCCCATTGCCTCTCTGGGGGATGCTTCTCCACACCTTTCTTCGTTCTTGATTACTCAGCAGGTTAATTTGGTCTGGAGGAACTGCCCTCAATTCTGGGTCACAAGTAGGAACCTGCCAGAGACGAGGTGGCTGACTACCTGAGCGGTCCCTGGGATCTTCTGAGCTCATGGTGGCAGCAGCAGGGTCTCAGAGATCTCACCCGTCTGTGTCAGGCTGGAAGAAGGTGTCGTTTCACCCTTGGGGAAGAGAAAACAGATTGTGGGCTTAATCACGTGTGAGCAGTGGCTGTAGGGAGCAGCGAGGGGTGTGGTCTCTGGCAGGTTTACCTGGGACGGCCACCAGCGCCACCAGGGACTTAGTGCAGCGTGGTTCTCTGTCCCCTGGGCTCTGCAGATCACTTGTTAAGGAAAGTTACTCATCCTCCCGCCGTCCTCCCCAGCCAGAGTCCTGCTCTCCTGTTGGGGCACAAGGAGAGGATAATCAGAGAGGAGACAGCCATCTGCGAAGTTACAGGAGCAATAAAACCAGAGACAGAAGAACAGGTAGGAAGGGAACACTCTGGAAATTACATGAGGTTGGGAATGCTTGTGTTACTAATTGGTTATAGGTGATATTGACCCACTGTCTATGACGTGCAGTCTCCTGAAACTCACCTAAACTTAGGTAAGCCCAAGTTTTCACATTTCTGCTGGAGCCCAGCCTTGAACCCAAGTCTTTCTGATCCAAATCCCAGGTTTGTGATGACTATGCTCTACTTGCTTTAATGTACAAAAATGTCTATTTGTGGATGCATGTTAATCGGAAAATGCCTCTTTTTATTGCAAAATGATGTCATGCACCCTGTGCTCATATCTCTGCCTTCATAAAGTTCCCGGTGCTGTAGCTCCCACAGCCCACATCTTCCTGGCTTCTGAAATAGCCTTTATCCCACAAACCTTTTTTCTGGAGTCCCACCAGCTCCACTCCAATCCCTGCAGCCCTGCCCTGGTCAACTGAGGACCTGAATGGAGTCCTCTTTGCTGTCCACTCCTGATTGTTGGACTTGAGGCTGTTTTTAATTCTTTATGTAAATAATAGTGCAAAGAACACTCTTCTTGTATAAAACTTTGCCTACATTTAAGATTCTTTCATTAAGCTATTTCTAGAAGTAGAATGACTGGATCCAAGGGTATCAACACCTAACATTTTTTCATACTTAAGCTACTTTGTTATGCAAACAAACTGTACAAATTTCCATTCACACATATCGTATGTGATGGTGTCCATCCTTTGTCTTGCCAGTTCTCTGTTATTTCTTTAAATAGCAGATCTTTATAGAGAGAGAACTTCTTTTGGTTCTGGTTGTGACTATCTTGTGTTGGGAAATGAGAAAAGAAAGCATGTTAATTACACTTAGGCAGTATTTTAAGAAGGTAAAAGAGTACTTATTTAAGTGTTCTTCCTGAGATCTGACTGAAATGATAGTAAAGGTCCTTATAGTTACAGTAACAGCTACTTGTGAGAGTGGCTTGTATTTCTGATTTTTCTCTGAGACTGGTAGTTACTCTAAGACTTTTAAAATTATAATCCATATTGTTCTGATAACCAGGAGGTGTGTACCACTATATCCCCTTTTACAGCTAAGGAAGCTGACGCATAGATGTTCTGTAATTTGCCCAAGGTCAAAAAACTTGTTCAGGAAGTACTGGGTCCCACCCCACTCTCTGGGCTCAAGATCCCACACCCGGTTTCTTCTCACTTTGCTGCTAACAATAATAGTAATTAAAAGCAGGGATGGTGGAACCCAGAGTCTTCACACTCCCTCCCTTGGCTGAAAATTATGACTGCTCCTTATTTACCAACTGCACCTTTATCCTTGCTCTGGTCTCCCCTCTCCATAGATAGAGTTACTGACACAATCATTGGTAAAACTGCCGCTGCCATTCTCTACAGCACCCAATCTAGAGTGGCCCAACTTCCTTAGAGTTTCCCCCAAACCCCCTAACCTGAGATCTGATCCTAGAATCTTTCTATCACCTTCCCTCTGCAGTGCCCAAGGTTCCGCTCAAGAAGAGTAACCATCAGCTTGATTACCAGGGGTATGCCTGGTGGCAGAGGCTGTGGGCACTGAGTGTGTGGATGGGAGAGGATTTACACAGACAGGCCCACCTCCAGGCGTGTGGGAGAGGCGAGCTGGCTGGTCCCTTGCCTCCTTCTCTGCCTCGAAGCTGTAGGACCCCAGGAGCCAGGGCAGCCAGTTGAAATTGGGAAACACAAGGACCAAGAGCCAAGGCAGAGAGAGGAGAGCTTGGGCAGAAAGGGCTGATCCTGGATGATGCCAAACACTTGAAAATGCATTTGGACCCTTGATCGCATCCTTCTGTCCTTCTCTCCCTTTCTTGTCCTGGTCCTGGCCCTTGACTGGGGCCTCAGCTGGGTGTGGATGCTGGACAGTACTTCCGCTGCTGGATTACTATCCGGGGTGTCCTCCTCTGCTAGCCTCTGACTGGTCACTTCCCGAAAAGCCTATCAGTGGGAGAGAGGAGAACCCTGAAAAGACTGTCCCCACCCAACTATGTGGCCAGATGCAGAGGCCTCCCCTCCATGTGGGCAGAGATTCTCACCAAATATCTCCCTCCATGTGGCTACAAGTTATCCACCTTGGGCAGGGAAAGGAGGGGTTAGGGCAGGATCAAGTGCAGAGTCCTTAGCCCATCACCAGGCCCTCCTGATGCTCCTACTCCTGTCTTCCTCACCTCCTGCCTTCTCAGGGCCTAGTCCAGGGGCCTGGAGGACTCCCAGCTCCCTGGACTCTGATTCCCCCCCAGCTTCCATGCCTTTGCTCAGGCTGCACCTCCCCCTGCAATGCCTTTACCCACCTGCCTTGCCAGCTGAAATGTTACCTGTAATTAGAGTTCCCACTTCAAAGCCTCCTTCCCCTGCTGTCTCCCCCAGTTCCTGTCCAGTCACCCCTGGAATCTTGCACTTTCCTGGTTGTGGGTCTGTTTGTGTGGAGTTCCTGCAGCTCCCAGCACTGGGCAGCGGCCCTGTCTCTTCTCTGCTGCTCCTCCTGCTCCAGGACCTCTGGGTTCCCTCCACCCTCCCGGGCACAGCCTGGCTACAATACGAGGTGTGGGACCCATTATTGGGACATGAAACCACCAACTTTTGAAGACACAGTACCATACTTCTTTTACCTGCAGTTGGGTAATTCCACTTGTTTTCCTTATCTGTCTTGATAAAAGCTCTTTTTGACAGAGAGGGCCACCAGATTTCCGAGTGTTTCCATTTATGGATGTCCCTTGCTTTCCAAAAGATCACTCTCTGCCCCTAAACTGTGAAGTGAGGCCTACATCCTCTTCACACTATGCCATCTTGGTTTAGGAAATCTTTTGTAGCAATACTGTACTTTCAGATGGCAGGAAACACCTGTATTTCCTCATGTTTCCTTACTCCAGCCATGATATTTTTACAGGAGGAGAAAGAGGAAGAGAGAATTGTGGAAAGACAGGGACTCCTGCTAAAATCTGAAAAATGCCTTACTGCACAGGAGGCTCCTTTAAAGGCAGAACAAAACAGCGTATTCCTTTCTGATTGCAGTAGGTACCTGTTAAGTAAATCCTGCTTTAAGGAGATAATGCAGCAGACATGCAGGAAGGAAGGTAGCGAGTCTGGGAGAGCAGGAGAGGAGGAGGAGAAAAAAAAGAAGGAGGGAGAAGGTAGAAGTAGGAAGAAAAAGAGGAAGAAGAAGAAACAAAAAGCTCTAATCACTTAGTGAAACCTAAAGGGATCTAAAGGTAAACCAGAATGAAAGAAATGAAAACATTATGCAAAACATACTGGAAAAATACTGCTAACTTGAGGAAAACTGTCTCACCAAGACACAGATCCCAGAAACCATT